ACTAATTCCAACTATTTGCTTTTAAAGATTCTCTTGACCAAGTTTAAAGTTGATTTCGAAATAAAGAAATTCTTTTTCCCCAACAAGATTTTACACAGATCGAAGGTTGGCTTGTGATTGACTAAGATTGATGTCTCAAAAACCAAAAAAAAAATCTTCATTTCAAATCCTATTTTCGTTACTAAAATCAAGTTTCTGCGGAAAAAATAAGTTATTTAAACTGGCTTATTAACCTTAGAAAAGTATCATATGATATATAAATCATATACAATGATGAAAAAAATCTGACTCTGAAACATTATCTTAATCATACTCCAATCATGGAAAAATCTTCGACTCTACCATTCATGGGACAATTAAAAAAAACGATAGTTTTCAGGTTATGTTTATTATTAATAAATAGAAACAATGTACGTTTTATAAATTTTTGGAATTCAAGAACCTTACAAATTTAATAATGTTTATAAATAGCGATTATCAAATTTAATAATGTTTGTAAATTATTCATGTTAACAAAAAAAGGACAAGAACATACTCATGAGTATTTCTGCAAGTATACCATCCTAGAACCAATTTATAACTTGCTAAAAAGCAGAATAAACACATTCTACACAACAACCATCTTGATTATCTACTAAAAAAATGTCCATTTTATTATTAATCTAACCAAAAAAAAAGTTAAAAGAAAAATAATTAAGGTGCAGTTTGTAAGTTTATTTCAGGGACCTCTTCTTTGAAGGAATTACTGATGGGATTTGGACCCGAATGTACCTCATGCAACTCCAATCTCCTACTCTTATCCTCCAAGATAGACTAAAGAAAATAAAACCAGAAAAAAAATATTTATGAACAATTATCATCAAGAATCAAGAAACAATAAAGAAAAATAGTGAGATTATGAATATATAATCCCTTACCTTATCGTTTAATTTGAATTTTCCAAGCTCTACATCTGATAATAAAAATAAAAAGTCATATATTTTTGTAGACATGAAAAGAAAAAGATAAAAAGATGGATTTGGATTTGGATTTGGATTTGAAACCTTGATGTTTTTGTACGGACAATGATGAATGAAGAGAGAGATGAGTTTGTAGAAGCATGAGAAGAAATATGAAACATAGTGCCATTTCTTGTTTCTCTAATAGTGAATTTTTGATAGTGATGCTTGTTTGAGAGAGAATTGTCTAATATAATGAAAGTTATATAGTACATTAATAATGCTCTTCAAAAGGGACATGCAAAAAAGTTAAAGAGAGAAAAAAAGACCCAAATAGATTCCACTTTTCTTTCATTTTATTTCTTTAAAAAGGATTTCAAAACATTACGTGGGTCCGTTTGCAGGACTTGTGTCGAATGGAAATACTGAAAGTTTCTGCAAAAAGGTTGTTCTTCCGGCACGTCGCACTGTTCATGTAAATCAGGTACACAATAGTTTGAAAAAACTCAAATAGATCCTATCCTACTTTTCTTTATTGTATTTCTTTGAAAAGTATTCCAAACATTATTCAGGTACACAAAAGTCTGCTAAACTGGACACTGTCCATACAAATCAGGTACTAAACAGTCTGCTAAATAGATTGAAGAAGATCCAAGACGGCTTTCCTATGTGGCATGCTTGGAATGGCTCCTTTCACTTGAACACAAAGAGAGGCTGCTGCAGCTGCAAATCACCAAATCATCAAATCATTAAAAGGGATTTAATATAAAAAAGCGAAAAATATAATTTAAAATAAAAGGAGTTAACAAATAATAAGAGCATATGTTCACCTGCAAATCTCAAGCATTCAACTTTGGTTTTCCCTTCTACAAAAGCAACAGCATAAGCAGCAGTGAATGTATCCCCTGCGCCAGTTGTGTCAATGACTTTTTTAGCCTCAATGATGCTTTGTTTAATTGGTTCTTTTCCTTCTGTGAATAAAGCAGATCCTCTTCCACCAAGTTTCACAAGAACTTCTTTAACACCCTATAACAATAATCACAAATAGTTTAATTAATTTATGATACAAATAGTAAAGATTGAAAAAAAAAAAAAAAAGCTTACTAATTGGTGACATTTAGCTACAGCTAAGCTGATTTGTTCAAAGCTTTCTGTTTCCATTCCTGTCAAACGAGCAAGCTCGCTTTCATTTGGACTCAGAATATCAACATGTTTCAGAAGCTCAACTGGAATTGGTGAATCCATTCCTCCTGCATCAAGAATCACCGGAACGCCTGCATTTCTTGCAGCCTGTAATCGTAAAGCATAGTATAGAACTATAGGTGATAGATGATAGATGATAGATGATAATTTAACTCGTTTTCTAGAATTTTGAATTTCAGAAATTTATCACCTTTGCGACTTGAATGTTGATCGAATCAGGAATTTCCCTCTGAAGCAAAACAATCCCGGCATTCTTCACAGTCTCCAGATCATCGTTGGCTAGATTTTCCGGCCAACCACACATATTAGCACCTCCGACGATTATAATGGAGTTCTGTCCATCGGATTGAAGCATAACCACCGCATGTCCAGTCGGTTCTTCGGAAACTTCATTCAGATGATCGATATGAACACCGCCACCTTCCAGCGCCTCCATTATCAATTTCCCATGAGCATCCTTTCCGATCTGGCCAACGAAGTACGTCGGGTAGGATAGCATTCCGCCACATACCGCCTGGTTGGCCCCTTTGCCACCAGCTAGGGTTTGCCCGGTCTTCGCAGATACGGTCTCTCCCTCTTTGGGAAGCCTATCGATCTCCACGTAGATGTCGGCATTGGCTGATCCGACGACCACCAATGGTGCTTGTGTGGATTTTCCGGTAGGTTGATTTAGGGATTCGGTGGTAGAGTTGACGATGAGAGATGGGAATGATTTTGGGTTCTTTCTTCTTGAAGGGATGATGAAATTGGGGATTGATAAATTGGTTGGCGATTTAAGGTTTACAGCAGATTGACGATGGTTGCTGTTGCTCTGCGATCGTTGGGACCATGGTGTTGACGGTGAAATCGATGTCATGCTGCCACTCATCGCTCCTCTGTGTAGACTTGTGAATTGTGATCGAGTCAAGAAAGGTCAACAATGAGCAATAATGAATTATAAATTTTGTTTATGCATTTACACTAGGATGTATATGAGCTAATGAGACTGAATGGATACCCATCGATATCGTTTTTTATTTTTTAAAAATCAAATTTGATCGAAAGTCAATCGTCAGTATTGAACAAAATTAAAATTATCAATATTAGTATCCATAATGGTATCAGTTTTCGGTACTAACACTGGGTATCGAATTCCGAATTTCTCGATTTTAGAGTATCGAATATTGTCTCATATGTTTAAATTTGGTATGGGTCGGTATCGGTTTTGATATTGTACCAGTACGAGATCGGAATTTGATACTAACCGTTCATCTCTAATAAAAAAAATGTATATACAAACCGGACGGTATGGGGAGCGGGGAGGGCTGCGGGAAGTGTCCCGCACGGAGGAACACCGCACCGGCGGTGCAGGAAGGGAGGCGCGGGAAAGAGGTGGGGGAGGTGGTGTCGCACTCTCTCTCCTCATTCTATTGGGCAGTTTTTTTTTATCTTTTTTAATATTTATAAAATTATATATCTACTAAAAAATATATAAAAAATATATCAAAATTTATGGTTTTTAATTGAGTAAATTACACGAATGGTCCCTATGGTTCGGGGTAATTTACGCGTTTGGTCCCTAATTTATTTTTTTAACGCGCTTGGTCCCTACTGTTTGTTTTTGTTACGCGTTTGGTCCTTACTGTTTGTTTTTGTTACGCACTTGGTCCCTATCTTACATATAAAAAATATTATTTAAATAGGAAAAAATGGTAGGTAGATAAGGTAAGGTGAGGGGGGTGAGGTTGAGGGTATGTTTATTTAAATATATTAAAAAATCAATGGCAAAATAGTTTTTTAGGTAAGACAGGGACCAAGCGCGTAACAAAAACAAACAGTAGGAACCTTCCAAGTTAAAAAAATAAGTTAGGGACCAAACACACAAATTACCCTAAACCATAGGGACCATTCGTGTAATTTACTCTTTTTAATTCCATACAAAATGAGTATAATATATGTATCAAATATATTTTTAAAAAAATAAAAAAAAATAGTGAGGGGAGCTTCCCATCCATTCCTTGGTTTTTAAGTGAGGGAACGAAAAATGAGGGAAATGGTGGTGTGGCCCACAAAAAGTGAGGGAAACACCTCTTCCATACCCTCTGGTCTAAGATAATATTTTGAAAAAAGAAATTAAAAAAAAACCTTACATTTTATTCCCTTTTCAAAATGTAGGATAATATGAATAAAATGTAGAGGGAGTTTTTAATTTCTTACATTTTCAAAATGACACATTTAGTGACACCTATTAGCATTTAATATGGTAGAAATATAAATAGGAATAAAATGTATCAGAAGATTTAATTTCTCATTTTGAAATATTTATACAAATTACGTAATGGTGCTGTAAAAACTCTTTTGGAGGTTTTTATTAGTTGGTTTTTCGAAATTTGTGATCATTCAAATTAATATAACTTTTTCATTTTAATTACTAATATCAGTACTAATTTTACTTTAGATGTTTAATTATTTAATATCTATATTATTATTTATTTATTATTAGTTCTATTTTTACTTTTTATATAAATTATATAATGTTCTCTTTTGTTGATTTTACAAGAAAAAATTATTTATATATACTTTTTATTTATTTTTTCAAGTTTATTTTAAACTTTGTATAACGTTTCAAATTTTTTATTTATGTTTTTTGACGTTTAAGATATTTTTTGCATTATTTTTTACAAAACAAACAAAATGTCAAAAAGCTGAAAATATTCCTAAGTTGTAAAAAAATTTACAAAAAAATATTACTAAGTTGTAAAAGAATAGTTAAGGATTTACATACCCGTTTTTTTTTAAATGTCGGTTTCAGATAAACGAGCAAAATTATTACAAAACAAACAAAATGCCAAAATTTTAAAAACATTCCGAAATTGTAAAAAAACCTAATGAAAAAACATTCTTAAGTTGTAAAAGAAAGTTACAGATTCGAATGATCTGGTTTTTTAAAAGCCAATTTCGGATAAAAGAGCAAAATATTAAAAACTTTCGCTTACAATTTCGGATAATGATCTGGTTCGGATAGACTGTAGGCCCTGCGAGGCGGTCCAGTTAGGCTGAAGGCTCAGTTATGCATGTTGTTGTTGATATGTTGTATGTGGTGGTACTTTGGGGAACTCACTAAGCTTTGACTTACAGTTTTTAGTTGTTGTTTCAGGTGCTTCTGATGATCGCAGGAAGGCAAAGGCGTGACCGTACACATCCTCTGTTTATGGCTTTATGATTTTGGGATACTCTGATATAGATAAACAATTTCGAAACAATGATCTGTAAAAAAATTTATGACTATGGGTTGTTTTTAAAAGTTTAAATTTGTTGCGATTTTTAAGTCGTTACATATTGAGGTGCAACAGCTGGTGAGGGAGTTCCAGGACCTTCGCCAAACTACTGAGACTGTGGCGGAGATTACCGCCAAATTCAGAGAGAGAGTTTTGTTGGTTCCGCAGTACGCAGCGGATGAGGAGATGAAGAAGACGAGATACCATGAGATGGTGAGGGAGTATATCAGGGAGTTTGTGAGCTTTTCGGGGTGTAAGACCCTGAAATGATCGAGAAGGCCCGTGAGCGGGATATTGAGTTGGAGCATCGGACGAAGCGGAAGATAGAGCAGGATCAGACAGCAGTGGGCCAAGCTAAGAGGCCCAAGACTTCCGATTCACGTGTCAGAGGCCCACAGGGTCGGAGCCATTGCGGTAAGTGCGGCAAGTCGCATGGTGGGGCGTGTCGAGTGTCAGGTTCAGTATGTTTTGGGTGTGGCTAGTCGGGCTACATGAGTAGGGACTGCCCCAGGAGTGCTCTGATTTGCTTTCATTTGCAATCAGACCGGTCATAAAAAGACCAATTGTCTGAGATTCTCCAGAGGAGTAGTGGTGGCGCCTGCGTTAACCACCTTGAGGATTACTAATGGCCGTCAGGGCAAGGCGGAGGCACATGTGGTGAAAAGCAGGGCATTTCAGCTGACCACCGAGAGGCTCGTGCAGCACCAGATATGGTTACCGGTATGTGATTTATCTTTATCTTTTATTGTTTTCCTTATTTATTTTGATGATTATATGTG